GACTTCAGTACAGCATTTGATAGCGTGAACTATGAGGTCCCCCTCCACTGGTTTAGGGTGTGGGGCGTTGGCGGTTCACTGCACCAATATAACAATAATTTCCTTGTTAGTTAAAAATGGAGGTTCTAGGTCGACAACCGTATGATCGATTGTTATCCCTCGAACAATGGCGTGTCCCCGAGCACTGCACTGGGGTCCCTTTTGTTCTTGATCTATATAAACGATGGGTCTCAACTTCTCCGTCCGTCTTGTGTGTTATTCGCAGATGACTTGAAGGTGTAGTGAGTAGTCAGTGCCTCCAAACAATACACGTCACGGAAGTCGATGTACTGGCATGCGCAACAAGTGGCCCAGCCATCGGAGCCTGGTGCGTGATATAATGGTGCTGAGCGGTTCACTAGCTCTTCCTGCATCAAATACGCGACGCGGAACACGCTCCTTGCTCACGCGGTGCTCCCACCAGGCATGAGCTAACCTGCGAAGGCAGCGATGATCGAACCTGACTAGCCTCTTTATGTCTGATGAGCTTGGTTTTACAACCATATAAGACAGTTGAACGGACGGTTGCATTATAAACTCTGCCCTTCAGGGCGAGTGATGCCGCGTCTGCACCACAGGTGGTGGAGATTGGCAAAAGCACCTCGAGCTTTTGTTATACGGTTCGTAATCTAGCTTCGACCGCATGGCGCTAATATAGCTGCTCAGGTACTTGAATTCCTGAACGACTTCTAGCTGTTCACCACAAAGCGTTAGCGCAGGGATAGGTCCCTTCCAATCTTGGAGAATAACTGCATTTCAATAAAGCACAGCCAAAACGATTGACAGGCAGTGCTAATCGGTCCAGTGCAACCTGGCACGTTTTGACGCTGTCACATATGCGGGAAATGTCATCCGCATATTCCATTTCAAGAAGTCGCTCACCAGGAAGTAGCTCCACACTTTCTAGTTCGTGTCCAGCGAACGCTGTTTCCATGACTTTATCAATAGCGAAGGTAAAGAATAAGGGTTTCAGCGGCCGACCTTGTCTCACACCGCTGGAGATATTGAAGAGCGGCGACAGTTTGCCATAAACCCTCACTCTGCCCAAACTATGGGCGTACAGTGCTTTGATAATGTTTATGTATTTATCGGATACACCTTTTCTCAACAGACAGCCATAAAGTGCACATCGATCCACCGAATCGTAGGTGCCTTTGATGTCGAGAAACACGACAATGATGGGTCGCCAATAAACATGGCGGCTCTCCAACAATGGACGCAAAGTGAAGATGCGGTCGATGCAGCCTCGATTACGACGAAACCCGGCTTGCTCTTCGCGGATCTCGCGCCAGTCAGTCTGTGGCGAACAATTTAGAAGCAGTTGTGATCAGGTTGATCCCTCTATGGTTGCCGCATTCCGAACGGGAGCATCCCTTGAAAATTGGGACTATGACGGAGCGGCTCCCGTCTGTCGGTACAATTTCCCACTCTCAAAGTTCCATTAGCAACTCGTGCAAATCATCCACAAGAGCAGGTCCCGTGAATTTGTAGTAAGCTGGGGGAATTCTATCTGCACCAACGGCCTTATGCAATTTCAACAGTCTGATCTCACGTCCGACTTCTGCGCGTGAGGGCGGAGAAGGGCGCTCAATGCCCGGAAGAGAAAGCGGTATCAGATTGGTTAAACTGCCTTGCAAAGTGTTCGGACCAACGCTCCAAGCGTTTTGACAAGCTGTGGATCGGCTGTCCACTCTCGTCGCGTATTGTCTCGCTAACATCAGGTCTCCTGCTGCCTATTTCCCGTATCAGACGGAATAACTTAAAATGATTACCAACGGCAGCGACTGTTTACATTTCCGATGCACGATGAGACCACCAATCTTCACTGTCTCTTTTCAGGCTAGCATGTAGTTTTGCCCTTAGATTCTTACGAGTCTCAATGTATTCGCTTGCAGCCGGAATACGTCGAGCATCCATAAGTTCCAGTGACTTTGTAGCGACCCAATGTCTAGGTTGGTAATTTGATTTGCAATATGAAGGCTCGTCTGCTGATAGTAATGTTTGGACGCTTACTCAGCCCAAATGCCAGCGTAGTTTGATATGCATTCAGAACACCTGGCTTCACCAGCTGACTGGTGTCAATGCGCTCAGAGCGACGTTGTGGACGTTCGCCGAAACGCACCCGCAGATGAGCACACACAAGAGCGTGATCGGAGTCCACGCTGGTGCTCCAAATCGAGCGACAGTTTTGGACACAGCCTCTCCAGCTGTAACTAATCTCAATGTGATCCATTTGCGTCCATAGCTGATGGGTGTCAAGTCACTGTTTGCGGGTGTTATGTCGGAAGTTAATGTTCTCGAGAAAGAGACAAGCATCTTCACGCAGTTGTAGCAACCGCTCACCGTTTTCATTTCGGGAGCCTACACAATGCTGGCCGCCCAGATGAAGCTCATCAGAGGACGCTTTTCCGACTTGGGCATTTAGATCACCAGACAACACCACAGTATCCGTGCTTCTTCTGTAATGAAGAAGATCGTTAAGTTGGTGATGGAAATCATCTTTCACCGAATTAGGGCTGCAATTTGTGGGGGCGTAAGCCGCAGTGACAAACAGGCACCGTTTGTTCCCGCGCGACTTCGAAGCCTGGAACTAGCCAGCCAACTTAAACGTGCATATCCGGCTGTTGACAGCGATCTATTCGATCAGGGCAACTTCAGCCCGGGGACTCAAAACAATGCCGACGCCATTTTGACCGGCATTTGAAGCTGCGTCATCGCCAGACAGGCGCAATGAGAATGTACCGCCAGTGTCGCATGTGGGGGATCTCAGGGTAAGCACGGAGCTCGAATCTTGCAGGCGGGTTTCCGATAAACAGCACCTATCCATCGAGAGGGTCTCGGATGTTCGGTCAAGTGCTACCTGTTTGCCAATCTGTAGCAAAGTGCGCACGTTAAGGCATACCACTCTTAGCGAGCATCGAGGACTCCAAAGGAAAACGGATGAACTGACCTTGTCCACTTGGTTGAACATGGATTTGTCGATTGGATTAGTGCGACGCCCTGTGATTGTGTGTGAGTGAAAACTAGAAGACAAGCGACTATTCAAGCAAGGTGGGGGGGCGCCAAGAATTGGGGGATTAAAAACAGGGCGGATAAAAGTAAAGTTGGAATGGGGCGCCAAGGATGAAAAAGCGCAAGTGAGAGAATAAGAAGGTTAGAAGGTCTGAGCAGTAGCATCCAAACCCATATTCACCCTGTTCGATGCAGCAGGTAGGCCGCCGTTTACTATCCTCTGCGACGGCCAGAGCCTCAAGCGATTGTTATAAGGATTGGTCATGGTATATTGCGTGAGCAAGATACTGTCAGGTTGCCCAGGCCTAGACAGGAGAACGATTCGGGTTCTCATCTAAAGCCTTTGGTTCAAAAACATGATCGCAGGGCAGCGAGGTTTTGGCACTGGACTACAGAGAGAGCCCACTTTAGGGAGTAAGGAGCCACCCTCACTCCAACCGCGAACCTGGAGGGCCAGAAGACTGAGTTTGTCTGGCCTCTAACCATTGACCAATCTGGTATAAGTGGATCTAAAGGTGCAACAAAGCACCACCCTGCATAGCTCAATGGGTCACTGAGGCACACAAGTCATCGCACCACGTTAAAGTCCAGTCTCATCGCGATGGAATCGTACGACCAATGCTATAGTACGGCTCGCCCGCACACTGTTCTATCACCCGGGGCGAGGTACAAAAGATCGAACGGGTACAGCTTGTGGCCACCAGCCTCCTCCGCACTCTATGTGTTTTACCATGATCTGCGCAAGAGCCTAGGACTTTGCACCGTCTTATCGTTGAGTATGGGTTGACCACATTATGACGCATCAGATATTACATCTTGCTGATTGCCCCATGTTGAGGCCGCTCCTCAATATGCGCACACCAATCTGCACACGAGGACATCGGTACAAACTTGTAGTAATGGATATGAGGCGGATCGCTCCCCAACTGCATCGAACTGAGAATAGTGAATATCTGGAACAACTTGCCGCCGCAACTAGTTGAAATACTCGGTGTCGCAATTTGACCAATTCCTGGCCAATCACTACCGACAAGAAATTTAGGGTAGGCTTACCAACATAATCAATCAGCATCTGAGGCACTTTAGATACAGCTGTTCCCTTACAGTATTCGGTATTAATGGTGATAAGGAGGAGGCGGAGAAGGATTAGTTTTACACATCACAGATGCACTCAGTCAGGCAGCCATCATAGGTAAGTTGGTAAGAAGATCCCAGCAACACTTCGGTACTTCATACCAGCGCTTCGTTGCCACAACCACCAACAGTCGCGCCTGGGCTAAGGATACTACGAGGGTTGTCCGGTCACTAAGCAGGCTGAACTCGCGCCCTCAGATTACAAGGTAAGCTTGTAATCCTCTAGACCACCGGCTGACAGGCAATATGCGTCCGGAAAAGCACAGGACTGCCGATTCATCCTTTCGGGACTCGTCAGCATTGTGCATTCCATGTATCCCTTATGGGGCAAGTACCTGTGAACCTACCCTTACAGTTCAGTCATTGAGATCGCAGAGCCGCAGCAGTGAAGTGCAAGCCAGTCGAGGATGAACTGTGCTGCACCACATCTAGCAGTTAGTCGTTACTGTCTTCCGTAACCAAGCGATCTTAACTACTGGTTCACTAGAGTAGAATCTTGGGATTTTACTCCACACGTGACACATGGACTGCGCACCGCTCACTAATCTTGAAAGGACGACCTTACCGTTTATGGCTTTTCGGATGTGTAATGACATCTGATCGCGTCTAGTTGTAGCGAATTCCGTTTGTGCTTTCTTAATCACCTTACTGCCCCTTCATATTACTCCTATGTATTCCCCAGGGATTTTGTTCTTTTGAAATGCACCTTACCACTGTCGTCCGATACTCAGTGCTTTCGATTTCTTGACTTACCGTAATAGTGGTGCATTCCAATACCCTGCTCGTCCCGAAATCCTCTCCTCTTTCCATTGTGTTGCAGCTAATCTTTTACCCATCGGCATGCCCGCCGTCGATCTCTCGGATGACCTTTTGAAGTTCTACTATAAAAGATTGTTTCCATGTGACCTATTTTTCAAATGGCTCACTTATGGAAACAACGACGTATGTCCTGTCGCCTTTTCTTCCTCATTGCTATAGCTTTCTAGGCGCGAATTTAGCTTCACCTTGGCCGGCGATGTTTATCTCCGATACCAAAGCTTTGAGTCGGCAATCGATCTACGGAAGGAATTGGTGAATTTGTGCCCTCACAAAATAGATATTGGAGCAGTCTACTCAGTGGCTCCAAAGAAGAACCGGTCTATTCTCCCCTCATCTTTTAAAGTAAGTTATTCGTGTAATGTCATCTATCTCCTCCGTTGGTCGTGTCATTGTTCACTAGGACACTACGATGAACCTGTATCTCTAGTTGTTTATGGTTGATTAACCTAATAGCAAAATCAGTAACAACTTTATGTCTAGTTTTGAACTTTTCTTTTGGAGTTGGTCTGTCTGCACAGACGGTCTACCATTCACAAACGTTCCAGCTTGTATGTTGACTATTGTTCTTGCTTACCTGTGTTCCACGGTTGTTGCACTTCCCGCGGTCAACCAATTAGTTTTATCTGGGTTTCTCCCATAGTCGCTATGATGTCTTGTCGAGACATAATTTACGCACCGCGTTCATATGAAAAATGTCTGATAGTTGAGCTGATTCAGTTCGGAATAGCCTCTGACGTCGTTTACTCCTTCCCAGCTCTTGTATTCCTTTATCGTTACTAATAAAACGGCGTCGAACCGTCGTTTCAGTTATGTGTACAACTGGTATATCATTTACGAAGTTTATTTCACAACAATTTTATTCATGATTTTTCTTTCCTGTCACTTTTTTGTGGATTTCCATTTTCTCTTCTGCACCAGCATTACAAGTGTCTGTCATCTCCATGAACAACTACTTCGATTTCTACCCGAGTAGCCACGATTATCTTGAACGATGCCGTCGACCGAAGGGATAACTCACTTGCCTTTTAATTCCGGATGTCACCGATTCGAGCCCGCGTAGGTGTAAGTAACCTCGCGGTATATTCAGCTCACGCGCCACTGCTGGTAGTGGCGTGGCAGCAGAATATCGGTACGGTGTGTTGGCATACTGCCTTTTTAATAGTTCATATGCACCTGCTAACACCTCATGCAGTGAAGCTGAGTCATTTAGAACTGCTACTTTCCACCTCGTTTCTGAACGTGTTCTGGATTTGTCGCCAGTAACCTTTCATCACACCAATTACTGTCAACCTCAACGTTTCACTCAGCCACCTAAAGTATTGCAAAACAGTAGGTACTGTTGTTGATACTCGGGTGTTCTCCGAGCTGGGTATTTTGGCTCGGAGTACAGCCGGATACCCTCATTCGCACTCTGAGTTACGGATGTTTTCCATAGTTGCAGTGCTTACTGAATTAGTCGGTTGAAATGCATGCGAAGAACCTGACGTAACCGACAAAGACCACGGGGTTTGTCACCCAACAGCAACTGACAGACCTTAGCGTTCCTCACTGGGTGCTGTCACGGGATATAAGAAACCCTTCACTGGCACCGGTGTTCAAACTTAATTGGCTTTCAACAATAACTGACCGTGTCTTTAAATCTCACAGACCGCCGGCTACATTGAAACGTTACTCACTCTTCTGTTTATGAACTACTTATGCTACGCCGTCTACATATGCGAGTGACGCTGTGAAAGGCCACGCAAGCTTCGGCAGTGCATACGGTACCATCTTGGTTGCACTTCCACCATCGCAAATACTACCTCCTTAGTGAATGAGCCGATAAATCACTTTGATCAGTCGCTCCATATTAGGGAGAACTAGTAACGTTTACGCTGTCCCCTAACATTACATAGCACTTTGAAGATGCAGAACTCATACCGGTGGTTGTAAAGCTAAACGTAGGCTTATTCAGCAGCGCTTTCTGAGCAGCTGGGTCCAATCCAAAGCGAGCTGTCATTAGCGTACCCTAGACATGACAACTGGTCACCTAACAACTCCTCTAACTCAGAACAAACGGCAGAAATTAGCGACATCGTTCATGTTCATTTCTACCACAAAGGTGAAGAAAAGCGGAGAGACTGGGAAGTCATGTCACGGCCACCTGTTATGACGAGCTCAGGGAAGAGGTTCAAGACGGCGATTTGCTGCCCATGATTTCGAAGAAATGTTGTCCGATGCGATCGTTAAATTTCGGCATCCTTAAAGACGGCTACAAGTAACTGACAAGCCGGGTCTCGTCGGAATCGTGGCTGCATTGGTCATATTTTTAGTCTGCGCCAGTAAGCTGTTGCCACCCTGGCTGACACGTTTGCGATTTGTTACAGATTAGAGCAATATCAGTTGCATACTTCAAGTCAAGAAGTTGTTCTTCTGGAAACAGCTCCACGACTTGAAGTCGTGTTCCGTGAACGCAGTTTCCTTCGTCAATGGCAAAGTTAAAATGGAAGGATGACAGAGGTCATCCCTACCTCACATCGCTGGAGATATTGAAGGGCGGCAACAGCTTACTGTCGCAAACTAAAAACGTGATCAATGCAGCCACGATTCCGACAAGACCCGTCTTGTCAGTTAATCGTAGCCGTCTTTAAGGATGCCGAAATTTAAGGATCGTAATGGACAACATTTCTTCGAAACCATGGGCAGCAAGTCGAACGTTGCTTGTCGGCATCCGGTTTCGGGTTTGCCTGCCACTGAGGGCAGCCACAGGATGCCTGCGCCTACAGAGGGACCATGGGTGGCTTGGGCTGCACCACCCACAGCTCCAACCACACACCCCATATCTAGTGTAAACCCGAAGAAATAAGACCGGGAGGCACGTGGATGGGAGCCACGTTTCATCAACGGAGCCGGCCCACACTCTTTCACAGGCAAACACAAGCACGCTGTATTTGGGGAATCTATGCGCACACAAGGTGTTGGCTGGACCGTAGTCCGCCCCACACTGAGTGCATGGAACCACTCTTCGAGCCTAGCACGGCCACAAGTACCGTGCACCCTGTACCCTCCAGCAGCGACCAACTGTCTTCTAGAGCCAGTATGGACGAGGTAGTGGGTAATAGACAGGTAGGCACCTTGTCAGCACGCACATCAAGCGCAGTCACACCGGGGATATCAAGCAACAGCCAGTCATTTGAAACGACACGGTGGAATAAAATAAATAGAATTATACCTAGAGATAACGCGATATAACTCTTCGCTTAATTAGCATATGAAGTAAGTTGGTTAGCAACGAATCCGCGATAAGTAAAAAATGTCCACAAGTTACTTAAAAATGCTACAAACGCAACAAAGTTATCGAAGATAACCGCAATTAGCGTAAGCAACGTGGCCAGTTAATAGAAGATTATTCAGGTAAACAGAACAAACCAAATAAAGTGGAGTGAAATTTATCCAGCTTAAAAAGACCTAGTTTAAGTGTATGTTGCTTTAGCCCAACTGTGGTGAAAAAGCATCAAGAATGCAACATCAGCCAGCCCGCATACAACCATATCTGTTCCACCATCCAACGTCGTCTTTTCTGCTGCTCACTGTTTGTCGAAGAAGCGAAAACATGCTTCTACTGGGGCTGCCTTTTTCTTCCGTCAGATTCTCATACACTCATCCTTACCCCTTTTACTACTTCTGTATTCTCAAATGATCCGGCAGCTGAAGTTCTACCATCTGCACCCGTCTCACCACAGCACTAAATGATTTCTTACTATCAAAATCCCTTATCCAGTAAGGCCGCACGGTTGCATTAGCAAATGACCCAGCAGATGTCATCACAAGCTCCAGGCCGCGTGATTTCATCTCTGACTGCGGCTCGCGTTGGAATGAGCGCGGTGTTCCTGATTATGCTGTGGTATGCTACCCATTTTGCTTGACCTCCAAGTGCGGCGGACGACTACCCATATATTGCACACTGGATAAAGGTGAGAGAGCTAGTGTGTCGCACTACAAAAAGATGTTTGAAAAAAGAGATGTTGATTATGCATCGGGAACGAGGTCGTGGTTAGAGTGGGATGAGGAGGGACAAAGTAACTCAACACAAATGCCATTAAGGTCGGCTCCTTGCCATGTCAACTAGCGTATCCAACCAAACATGTTCATCGTCATTAGGGTCCCAGCCCGGCAGTCGGAAGATGCCAACCGACGCCAAGTTCGAAGTGACGGCCTTCATGCCTATTGACCAAGTCATCGCTTGACCTCCCTTCCATCCACAGCCCGATCGCACAAGTAATGCAGGTCACGGGAGTCCGTGTGCTGTCATGCGCAACACAGCCCAGCCATCGGAGCTTGGTGCGTGATATAATGGTGCTGAGTGGTTCACTCGTTCTGTTTGTACCAAATTATTGCGGCACTATAGCTGGGGTGTTTTTTGTCACTTGCTAACGTGTATAATGATGATGATGGTGCCTTCACCAAATACAAATATTTTCCCAGTTAGCTGAGACGAGTCAGTCTTTGTGGCAATGCGAAAGATAGGTGGCTACGACGCTTGTGCCAACATCAGCATTGTCAGTTTGAGGTCGTTAGTGACAGCTATTGACGTCTATTTTCATCCGCAAACTTATTGCAGAACAGGAATCCTGCTAAATTCAGGCCTGGTTGAGACCGTATGGATCATACGCTTACCTCGAGCCTTTCCACTATTCAAGTATTGTATGGCTTTGGTTAGGAAGTCAGATTCCCTAAAACGATATCACTTCCGGGGTTTTATCAAAAAGCCATCGCCTTTTTACGGTTTCGAATTTCCCATCCATGCTGCTTTTTGTCGAAAGACCACTGCTTCGCGTCACTTGCTCGGTTGTGTTTCATTTATACCATCACGTGTTAGAACCTTTCAAGATACCTATAAAGTTAGTTATACACAGACCAGTTTCGCTCTGGTTCGAGAGCAATTAAGTTTCCAGAAGAGGTTTTATTTTCTTTGGGACTACGAAGTTTGGAGTGGAGATCGTTGCGGTAGGTAAATAAAAGGATAGGGCATATAAATGAACGATAATGCCAATGAGTGAAGTTGGGCCAACATAAGATATAGCTTGCACTTATTACGAACTACCCGATACCTGTCAAACGTGTTGGGCGACGGAGCTGATCGATACGTTCGCCGGCATGTAGATTTCTCCCCAAAGCTATCCATGGAGGCTTTCGGATGTGAGGTGCAGAAGTATCCACGAGGCTAACCTGAAATTTTTCAAGGCTACCTGAACAGTGTCCCCCTCTGTTATAATTGAGAGAACGCCTCTGTTATGATTGCGTAGATGCCTGATAAGATGGTCACTGGCACGGCTGGAGCACGCCTACGGTAACGACTTGGA